TTTTTATTTTAAATATATATAAAAAAATTATAAAAATTAATATTAATTTTAATATTAAATGAATGAATTTAATTAAATAATTAATAAATTAAATATTAATTTTTATTTTTTAATATAAATTTATTAAAAAATATATTTATTATATTCTTATAATGTATTCTAAAAGATATAATAGAAAAATCTTTTATATTATTTTTTTTGTTATTATTAAAGGTACCATATAATTTCTCCATTATCCTTTCTCTTTCCTCTTTCAAGTCATCTCAGACCATTTTACAAGTTGCATGTCAATTGGACACCAAAAGTGGGTCCATTTGGATCATGGGAATTGAATTCTGAAAATTTGAGCCCGACCTAAAACCTTTTCCATGTTGACCTAGATGATTAAGATTCTTAAAATTCTAAAAACATTTTTAAAAATGAATTGTTTATCTATTTTTTTTTTTTCATATATTTGTGAAGGCCAAAAATTTTCTTCTTTTTTTTTTTTTTAAATATGAATATGAGAAATATTCTTTATAAATATTTAACGTTTAAAGATTATTATATGCACTCAATGTGAGTCTAAATGCATAAACACTTTTCCTCTCATTGGTTTTCTCCCTTTTTTTTTTTCTTTTTTTTTTTTTCAAAATTTTTAAATGAAAGCCCAAGTACCACATGCACTCTGCCATTGATATCATTTCCCCTAACGCTTTCAATGAGTTTTTGATTCAATAGAAAAGTGAAGCTGAAACACTAAAAAATCCCAAAGTTTCATGCCTCGCCCAATGTGAGCGCATATATATATATATATATATATATATATATAAACCTACAAATATCAGCAATAGTGTGGAGAATATGCTTAATATGTCGGTGGCCCCAACAAAAAAAAAAAAAGCTTACTGTGTCATCACAGGCCACAGCAGTTTCCAATCTCATCTTGTCCACAATATCAAATCACCCACAATCAACTGCCTAGGATAAATACATAGCTTAGAATTGTCGGCATATATCAAATCTGTGGAGGCTAACATTGGAAAAGATAGGAAGTGAAGTGATGCAGATTGAACAGTCAAAAAGGGACTGCCTACAAATTGCTGATCATACGTTTTTCTTCAAAGGGAAACTTTTTAGGTAAGAAAAACATAAGCAATAATGTTCGAGAAAAATGACAAACAGTGTCCATTCATTCTATTATTACATAGATCACCCCTGCCCTAACCGACATTAAATTGCCAGCATCCAGGATTGTGATTTGTGCTCCAACAATGTAAACAGATTCAAGGAAAAAGTAGAAATATCCATTCTTGCTGCAGATTCAGGCGCGGTAATGAACCTCAGTGAACTTGAGTCTAAACAGGATCTGGGTTGTGATTGCTCCCGGTTTTCCTCTTGAGAAGTGATTCTCTCGCTGGTGGTGACCAACTTGTTTATAAATATGAATACTGATAATGTTGTACTAGATAGAACAATCTTGGTTGCAGGTGGAAGGCTGTAAGTTTCAAGGAACATTCATGACTTGGATGGACTGCAACATGTCGGATACGGCAATTACAAGGTCACCTGATTTTATCATTCCTCTGGCCTTGAGTAGGGAGAAGGTTTTGTTAAGATTACTTTCCATATCATCAGAGAAGCTCAAGCGGAAGGGTATCAGACCCCACTGTAGGTTCAGACGCCTACGCACGGAAGTGGTGGTTGTAAAAGCAAAGATGGGGCAGTCTGGTCGACAACGTGATAGGAGAGATGCCATATGTCCTGTCTTCGTGTAGACGAAAAGGGCATCCACCTCCAAATTGTTAGCTGCATATCACATACTCCATTAATATCACCATTAAAGAAAAACTTATAAGTTCTTAGTATTGGGAATATGGCAACTCAAGTTGCTCTGAATTTTATTAAAATGCTAAGAGTGAGGAACAAGGGCTTAGGATGGAATGGGCAGTCTCCATCTACAATAAGATTTTTGTTATGTCTCAGGAAGTTTTAACCAAACAGAAACAGGAAGAGGGAGAGAGAGAAGGCATCATCAGAAGCCCTAACCAAGGATAAAGAGAGTTTTAGCATATGAATTTCTAAAACAAACATATAAACCAAGTTTGAGATACCTTTAAACTACTTTACAATGCTACTAAATGGGGCTGTCACAATATTCACTAAAATACATTTCTTGATGATACATTTGGAATGAGCTCTTATTGAAGAAAAGTATCCTTCTTGTTATTTAAAAACTCAGAAATAGAAGAAGAAGACAGCAATTAGTTCTCTAAAACATAACTTGCCACCTAAAATTATTTCTTTGAATAACTAAACAGCATCAAATAAAAGATTCTTCTGTTGAAGCAAACACTATTAGGTCATATGAGTTTCCAACTGAAAGGATTAGACATTATACGCACAAATTCATGCAGAAGCACAGTCATACATTTAGAAGTCCTAACATAACAAAAGAATACTTACCCATCTTAGCAGCAGAGTTGCAAATCTCTTCTGAAATACTATCTGCAAATGAAGTTCCCACATCTGGAAGTTCCATTGCTTCATAGCGTTTCTCCTCCCTCCACCATCTCTCAATCCTCAGGCTAACATTTCTCAGAACAGCCAATGCCTTCTCAGGATACTGTCCCATGGCTGACTCACCAGAGAGCATCAAAGCATCTGCTCGCTGTCTCACTGCTTCAGAAACATCGGCAACTTCAGCTCTGGTGGGTGTAGGGTACTCAATCATAGATTCAAGTAGCTGAGATGCAACTATCACTGGCTTATTTAGCTGCCTGCATAGCTTTACAACTCTTTGCTGGGCTGATGGGACCTGTTCTAATGGTATTTGAGCACCTAAATCTCCTCTTGCAACCATAGCCCCATCGGATGCTCGTATGATCTCTTCCAAGTTCTTTAATGAGTCAATACTCTCTATCTTTGCAATAACAGCAATGTCACTGCACCATAATGTTATAAAACCATTGTTAGCTTAAAAATGTAGATAGATGATGCTTTTTTTTACTTACTGCAAAAGCAGAATAGTTCTAGATTTTCCATCTCCATATTCTAACTTGCAACTTTTGAGAGTAAGTTGGCGCAGAGGCAGCAGTAACAGCAGAACCAAAATAATGAACATAAGCCAATACAGACACATATGGCAAAAGTAGAAGTTCAAAAAACTTGAAAAGCGCCACAGCTAACATGACAGAACACATCCAATGCTTACCTATCCCGTGCCCGTGCAGCAATATAGCTTTTAAGGTGATTAATCACTTCAGCAGACTTGACAAAGGATATTGCGATGAAATCAACACCTTCTGCAATCCCAAAGTCAATATCCAACCAATCCTGAAGAAAACATTTATATTCTCAGTAACAGTTTCCGGAAAAGTATACGAGCACTCTGCTATGAATATTGAAGGCAAACAGGAAGGTCCATCAGATGAACTGCAGACATGCAGGCTGGCATAGGTACACATTCAAACACTCAAGCTGAAAAGAATAATTGGGATGAAAATATGTCCTCAAAAAGACTCCTAAACATATTATCTCCCTAGGTGCTAATGTTCATTATATTGTTGTTAGGGATCAAAAGATAAATTATAGATATGTCAAGAGCTTAATGGCATCCAAAAGGAGCTCTGGTTCTTTAACCAGTAGGAGATTTCGGAAATTCAGTTTGTCAGTAGCCTTTTATCCTCCTTCTCCATCATGCTCATATTGATGTCATAACATTGGAGGGAGCTAAAGCAATTAATTCTGATGAGTAAATATAAAGAAGTAAAAAGAAAGGAGCAACCTTGGAAGAAATGGTGGGAAGCATGGCATTACGCTCACGGACAAGACTCCCATCCCTCCAGAAAGTCAAATTAGCTCGTGGAAGCAACAATCCAGGATCAGTGCACCTACACTTGACATCGGGACCAATCTTCTCAGTCACCTCAAACCTCACCATTCCACCATCTACAAGGAGTTCATCACCAACTTTCACATCTGCACCACATCAACATTTAGTTCATTCCCAACATGCATGAATACATGAATAGCACAGCATTATTGCTAAATTTCTTTATAGAACAAAGAACATGTTTTTAATCAAAGTCAATCCTCAGATAACAACCTTCAGCAAAACCATCATAATTTACGATAATGGTGCGTTCTGGCAGACCCGAATCAAAAGCTCGAACACTAAACGTCCAGATTTCCCCATCCTGCATACCAAGTAACACCAATTCTTTAGATTGCTAAATGAACAAAATAAACTCTCTTGTTATTCATTCTTGTATTCCACCATAATCTTACGAACACTATATATCATTGGTGCCTTGGCTAAAGGTGGTTGCTTGAGGCCTCTCAATAAACATCACTAACTACTGTTATATTTTCTGAGCTAATGAAAATTCGTTGTAATCTCACCCAAACAAGTGAAAGAAATGATACTTCCTTCAAACCCTTTTTCTAAATTGTATTCATTTCTTATTCTATCTTGAAAGAATTACCTCAGCTTTTGCCGAAGGAGCACCTCCGAGTTCACCCATGTGAATCTCACTTCCTTCAGTGTCCATCATAATGGCAACCGCGAACCCTTTCTCCTCATTGAGCCTCCTGACACGCTCGATCACTCTGCGGTGCCACTCGCGGGTGCCATGGCACATGTTAATCCGAGCCACGTTCATTCCCCCAACCGCCAACGACTCCAGCTGCTCGAACCCGCACGTCGCAGGCCCAATCGTACACACAAGCTTGGTCCGCCTCGTACTCCTAAAGCCGTTCTCTTTCAGCTCCGCCTCCGTCACCGTATCCACCTCAAGAGACCCCGAATCCGACTGCACCCGCACCGCCACGGAGTCCGCGGATAAAACCCCGGTCACTACGGTTTGACCGTTGTCGACGGCACCAACTTTCGATGACGTGGCATCGAGATCTGAAGAGGAGGATTTGACTGCAGGGAAGGAGTGCTTTCCAATCAAAAGCTTGATAACAGGGAATCGACGATACAAGGAAGTGACCGTCTGTTTTGGAAGAGTGAGGTAGGGGGAGCGGGAGGGAGTGAGGAATTGGAGCGACTGCGACATTGATGAGCCGGAAAATAAGCGGTTTCCGATGAACAAAAGCGTCCCGACGGCACTGGAATGGAATCAAGAAGAAAATGCCGAAGAAAAACTTCAGAGAATTCAGCTTTAATGGCGGATTTGGGGAGGGAAAAGTGGCGGAGATGCCCAAGCAGGGCCACCAAGGTTGTGAGTTTCGGAGATGTTGTAGAAGCTAACCGAGAGGAGCTCCGATGTAATCATCATGGTCACGTGGCGGATTCTAATTGGCTATAGTTAAGTGATGAGTTTTATTCTGCTCCGTGGCTGTTTCTTATTGGTGTTCTGTTGAGTTTAAAATGGTATCTGGAACATGGAAAGGAAGTTCGACAAGTTAATGTAAATCCACAGGCGATGACAGAATCGGTAAAAGCTTACTTTTTAACCTGTAACCTTCTTAATTTAAAAGTTTTACGTATATCTTATATTATAATATTTTTAATTTTTAATTTTATTATTATATTTATAAATTTTAATTTTTTATTTATTAAAATAAAAAAATAATCTTTATTTTATGTTAATTATTGATTTTATTAGTTAAAATTAAATTTTTATTAATTAATAATTAATTAACAGAATTAATAAAATAAAATAAAATTAATTTTATTAATTAAAAAAATTTTAATAGTTAATAATTAATTAACAAAATTAATAAAATATTACAAAATAAAAATTATTTTTTTAAATTTTAATAAATAAAATTAAAATTTATAAATTTAATAAAATAAAAAATAAAAAATATTATAATATAAAATAAAAGATTAAAACTTTTTAGATAAAGCAAGTGAGAGTTAAAAATAACCTTTTTGTCGACAGAATCTACTGACGTTATTGTCGGAACTTGCGGTACTAATTTTTTATAAATATAATATATTGTGAAAGTATGTCGAATCCAATTGTATAATTTAAAGTACACTCTATCCATCAAACATTTCCCCTTTAAGAATGGATTAAAGGGTAATAAAATTACTCTTTTTTTATAATTAATTTTTATAAAAAAACATAAATATTGATTTTGTTTGAATTAAAATTATATGCAAGTTAACAATGTTAAAATAAAGTTAATTTTATATTTTTAATGAAAATTAATTATAAAATAATATATTTATTGTACTTAAAAAATACAATTTAAACAAATTCGTTTAAAATAGTAAATAAAGAACCAACTTTTTGATATTAAAATGGGAGAATTTTATTTTATTGTTTGATAGATTATAAAAGGGTGGAGTATAAAATAGGAATTATTAGATGTAAAAAAAGTCCTAATATCAAGGGGTTAATCCTTATTTAATAATTAATATAATACATTATGATACAATTTAAATTACATCATATTTTGTTGTTAAAATAACTCTTATTTTATAATTTAATTCAGTTGAATTCACAAAACATAATTCTCAATTTTTTTACAAAGATATATATTTTTTAATTTTAAATTGTACAATAAAACAAAATTTGCTCTTATTCTTTAATTTATCTTATTTATATATCATGTAAATTAAATTTAAAATTTTTTAATGACTTCTACTAAAAAAAACTTACTTCTGACTTATAAATGTTATTAGATTCTAAAAGATTTTATTTGGTTTAATTGTTACTCCCAATATACCATTTAATGTTTGATTTGCAGCAAAAGGTTTACAGACTGCCCCTGACAGAACCATTCGAAAGTATCAAGGATCGAGCTGCTGTTGAATTCTGGTCGTCCAAGTCCAAGCCATATCCTTCCTCTAATCACCAGGCGCCCAAAAATCTTTTAAATGGAACACACCGGTGCCTGGTACTATATATGTTAAGCTAAATGCGAACGGATCTGCAATCAACAAACTAGGTGAAAGCCACTGCTGGAGCCTGGAGGGCTCTTCCAAGACTACAATTTATGCATTGAAATTGACTCTACTGTTGTTTTGTAAGAATGTTATTATTATTATTATTTTTTCCATCCGTAAGCTCCTCTTGGATTGCAGGAGCTACTCAGCAAGCTTGATTAGGCTCAAATCAAGCTCATTTATAAGGCAAAAACCAACATTTAGCCTATCACCTTACAAAATTAGTAAGTTTTAACCTCTCATCTCATAACATGACAATTTTAGTCTTTTAACTTACAAAGTTGATAAGTTTTAACCCGTCATTTTACAAAATTGTTAAGTTTTAACCATTTACCTTATATTATGATATTTTTAACCCATCACCGATACAAATTAAAGAAAATAGTCTTCACTTAACATCAGGTTATAACGTTCTGTTATTTTTGTTAGTTAACTGTTAACATCTGTTAGTATTCCATTATAAAAAACATGAAATTTAAATTGAATTTTATTTATTAGTTCTATTAACGGAATGTTAACGGATGCTAACAGTCAATTAATAAAACTAACAGTTAGTTAATAAAACTGACAATCAACTAACAGAATTGATAGTTAACTAACAAAATTAATAAAACATTATAATATAATGTTAAATAAGGGTTATTTTCTTTAATTCGTACAGATAAGGGGTTAAAAGTGTCATAATATAAGGTGGGGGGTTAAAATCTATCAATTTTATAAGGTGAGGGGTTCAAACTTATCAAAGGTAAAAGGTTAAAAGCGTCGTATTATAAGGTTAAGGACTAAACTTATCAATTTTATAAGGTAAGGGACTTAAAGTTGGTTTTAGCCCATTTATAAGGGGTCTAATAAGTGTGTTTATTCACTCTGAAGGCTTGGGCACTCTTTTATCTTCGGATTTTGTTTTTTATGCTTGCGGCCTTGATAATTGATATGTCCCGTATTGCTTAATATAATTAGAGGTGGATTTCCCTATAGACTACGTAGTTGTGTGTTTGTTTGTTTTATATTATATATCTCTATTTTTAAAAATTGTACATTTACATGAGAGTTCTTGTCTCTTATTGGAGGGCTATGATGACTCAGATCCCTTAAATTCAGCTCATGCATATGTCTAAAATGCCCAATGGAGTTGTTGACCACTTATCTAAGAACTAAACTAATTTACGTTATGCTTTTGTTATGTATGAACAATGTCCACTTGATGTTTCATATATTTTGTTCTATGATGCTATTGGGAATGTTCTTCCTAAGGCACTTGTATTGGTTTAATGTTTAACAGCTACGTACTACTATTCACTTATTTACTAAAAAAATTTTTATATTTACAATCTTAATATGTTATTATACGATAAACTCTTTTGAGATTGGTGATTGTCAATTGGGTCTTTAAAAAATTAAGAAAAAAATATTAAAATTAACTCATTTTATTAAAATATTACAAGAAAAAAGTCAAAACAAACTCAATTTTGGTTTACAAATAAGTTATTTTAATTTTTTTTTTTTATAAGAGTTTATTGAAACAACCACTATCAAAATCTAGAGTTTTAGCAACATGCATGTATCTATCTTGTTAAAAGCCTCTTCTATGTGGGTAAAAGCGCCTTTGCATTGCTAGTCTTGTGGGTGAAGTTCTTGTGGTTGTTGGGTCTCTCGGTAAAAGAACAAGCGAGGTGAATTGCACTTATGGGTAAATATTTCACTTTCAACAAAGTGATATTTAATGTTATTTAAAAAAGCACTTGGCTAGAGTTCTTAAACACAAATAATAAGGTAAACCAGTAGGTGAATCTTCTCTTTTACTCATGTGAACTTTATTTCTATCTAAAGGTGCGTGAAAAGTTATAGAGCCTATACATTTTATCATCCATATGGGATACAACACTACACCAACATTTGTCGATGTAAGCCAAAATGTTAAGAATCTATTATAGAAAAAAAAATAGTGTTTATCCATGTAAATCAAAATGCTAAATATTTGTTCTAAAAAAAATAATAAATTTGAAATATTCATAAACCACATTTGACATCAATTTAAATCACTAAAATAGGATGCAAATAGGATGAATGACATACAACAATTATGTTCATTGAATAACACAATATTTCTATATATAAGAAATTGTAAAACAAAATTAATCCATTTATATATATAATGAAATTAAAGAATAATCAACAAGTGAATGAACCAAAAACTAAATGTAAAAATTCAATCAAATTCATAAAATCTAGCAACATGCCTTTCAAAAAATACAAAAAAATTTAATAATTATTAACACCTATAAAAAAAATTATAAGATAAGTTTGCATTTAAGTAAAAAAAAAAGGGTTACAAATAGCCAAAATATAAAACAAAATGAGAAATTAAATTCATTTAAACCTCATAAATTAGGAGCAGTATCTCACTTACAAAATCAAAGTAAATTCATGTGAGTCTATTAAACAATATTTGCCCAATTTCACATTTTCATAAATTTTGGGACAAAATAAAAATTCAATTAAATTTGGTGAAGTTTAAAGAGATAAGAAGAGTTTTACCGGTCAAAGCTAGAACATTAACCTGCAAAACCATGAAAGAAAAACTAATTTTAATTAGTGCCTAACTTTAACACATTAATAAGCAAAATTTGAAAGGTAAAAAGGACAAATGTTAAAATAACAAAATAGTAATATAAATGTGATACGCTATGATTATAATTTAAGGAAAATTGATTTCTAAGGCCATGAAAACCGAAAGTTGAACTAGAGAAAGGCATAAAAGAAGGAGAAGGAAGAAGGAGTAAAGAGGAAGAAGGAGAGGAAAAATGTAGGGGGTTTCTATTAGTTTGATATATATATTGAAATCCAGCATGTTATACTACGTTGGTAAAAGTTATTCTAACTTTTACTCATGTGGAACACAATGCCATGTATGGGTAAAAAGGTAGCTAACAAAATAATTTAAATAAAACTCAACATGGCATGGTACATAGGTAAAAGCTAAAAGCTATTCTAGCTTTTACCTAAATAAGGTGTAATACCATTTATAGGCAACAGGCGCCTCCATGAAAAATTTGAAAAATTTATGCAGCTTTGGAGTTTAAAATATTTTCACTAAATCATCCACATATAACTTATTACTACATTAAACCATCACCGACATAAGATGTAATGCTGTCTTGAAATTATCCAAAACATTACTTACCTTTGAATATCTTGGCAAATACCACCGTCCCACACAATGCTATATATATTAACAACGTAAATCTCATCTCTAAATATTGATTTCTCAGTTATTTCCTAGAATTAACAAATGGACATGATGATTTTGTTTTCTCATTCCCCTAAAATGCCTTGCTTTTTGTCAATAAAATTTAATAAATACATGTATATTCAATTTCTAATTAAACTATATAATTATAATTGAATAATTAACAAAATCTAAATTCACGTCTAAAAACACTAAAGTCTACGAAAGACATATTTTAGCATAATTTAGAATTTAGGAAATTCAAATTACATCCCATACCAATAAAACAATACCAACTAATTCAAACAATCTATTAATCCAACAATCCAACCATATAAGCATGGACACAACAAGTCAATCTCCCATTTAACATAAACACCATATAAGTCATAATACTAACAATGAAAGACATGAAAACAGAAAGTCATAACATCAAAAACCATTAGAATTGTCTTTTGATGCTAACTATAGTTTGATTGGTTGTAGGTTACAGGTTGAGGTCGCGGGCGTTTGAGATTTGAATGGTAAACACAGGCAAGCACCATAATGGCAAATGCATAAGAAAAAAACAAGAACTTTAGCAACATTTATTAAAATGTTAAATGAAAAAAAATCTCAATCATCTATGTAAATTGCAATGTTCAATCTCAAATAATTGATTATTATAATATTCGTGGTTAATATTTTAAAACCTGATATAAAATACATAAATATAATAAAATGTAACAAATAATAGTAAAATATTTTAAAAATTAACTTACATTGTATTACAAACAAATATAGTAATATCTAATATTATTTTTAATTTACAAAACTTAATATAATATCATTAAGTTAACAATTTTTAGAGAATATTAAAAGTTATGAACTAAAATAGTAAATAACAACTAAAAAACCCAGTATATATTATTCAAAGCAAGAAATAAGAAAATGTACATTATAGTTCTGAAATAGAATGTAATTTACTAATTGCATTGTC